AGTCTTATATTACACAAAAGGTTTAGGGTTTAGGTGATTCTTTTCTGCGGAATGAGGTTTAGGTGCTGTATGTGTATGCGTGCACACATTTACATATAAGTGTGTATTTGCACGTGCAAACATGTGGATATACGCGGTGAGGGTATAGGGTGTAGGGCTCGGGGTGAAGGCTCAGGGAGCCCAAATTGGAGGAAAACAGAAAAAATGGATATGATATCTGTTTGGAGAGAGAGAGAGAGAGAGAGAGAGAGAGGGAGAGGGAGAGGGAGGGAGAGAGAGATGTCTACATATATAACATAGGGAAATAAGGGAGCGGAAGAGAAGAAAAGACAATTGCAGCTTCTGTGCTATTCAGTTTAGGGTCTGGGGCTTTCAGGGGGCCCAGTGCCTCTTGATTGTGAATGTACTTCGAACTAGAAAACTAGATTAGGAGTCCTAATATCATGTAGGGTATATTTCTTACTGCAGCTGTATTGGGCCCTCTGGGGCTTACGGTCTGGGATTTGGGGATGACGGTAGGATATAGGGTTCGGGGTTTCAGTGCTTTTGAGTCAAGGTTTGGGGATTGGGGTGCGGGGCTTTTACAATTCAACTGCGCACAGAACAGAGATCAGCCCCCAGCAGCAGCAGCAGTTCCCCAAACTGCTTGTAACCTTTTCTCGGACCGTTGTGTCAATATACAATGTCGGTCGCAATGTCACCCCACTTTACGTCTGTTTGACTTATTGCTAGCATGCTCGACTAGGATGTCGAAGGACCCCGTGGCTTTTCTCAACATTCTGGGCCCCGCCCCGCGACCCCACATACCGTAGCGTTGGACCAAACACTGGCCAAAGGAGCCTTCAAGATTTCGGTATACATCTCAGGATTTGTTGGTCTAATTCTGCATCAATTCGTACTAAGTCCCCTAGGCCCGTAGGCCTTCATATGCAGAATGTAGTGTTCATTAATAGCGCTGCCCTATAACCCTCACAAGAAATTTCTGACCCACATGCCTACGCCCTGCGACCTATGTACCCCAACCCTCCAACACGACTGTAAATGTGAATATAAACAGAACAGGGTTTGGAGTTCCTTTTAGTTCTCAGTGCGCATCACTGCCGTGGATGCAAAAACTGCATGACTGTAGCAGCTGACAATAACATTTTCCCCAAGATATGAGGTGGCACCAGAAACCGTACCCTAAACCCTACACCCCTAACCCTAAACCCTAAACCCATCAGAATCCCTAAGCCCTAGCCCCACAAACCTTTAACCGGACCCTGAACCCTACCTTTTTGACATCCTTAACCCTAAACCCTAAAGCCTAAACAGTAGTTTCCGTTTTTCTCATTATCCCTATACAACTCCCATATTTTCTCTACTTAAGGGGACCCTAAACCCTAAATCCAAAACCCTCAAAAACCCTGAACCACAAATCCTACACCCTAAACCCTAAACCCTGAACCCCAAACTCTAAACCCTATACCTTTTTGACATCGAGCCTTAGCTGTGGGCTCATCCGTGGCCAGGCCAATACCCAGGGCCACGGCCGCTCGGCCCCTTGGGGTTTTGGGGATTGGGTTTAGGGTTTCGGGTTCAGGGATAAGGCTTGGGTTTAGGGTTCAGGGATTAGGCTTGGGTTTAGGGTTCAGGGATTTGGCCTGGGTTTAGGGTTTAGGGTTTCTGGTTCAGGGATTAGGCTTGGGTTTAGGGTTCAGGGATTTGGCCTGGGTTTAGGGCTTAGGGTTTCGGGTTCAGGGATTAGGCTTGTTCAGGGTTTGGGGTTTAGGCTTCAGGGGACGGCCAAAGCTGGCAAACATCTCGAACATTCCCATGCCGGACAAACGTTTGCGTACCCTCCTCTTCGTGAAGCCACCCAACTTGAACTGCGAGGGGCGCTCGCAATCAGACATGGAGGAAAACACCAACCTAAACCCTCAACCCTATCATTACAGCAAACTGAGGACATCCACGAACTGCAAGCCCCTCCTCGCTTTCGCTAACATGGAAACCCATATTATGTACTATGGTCTAAATTTCTTAAAGGTGGATTACGCAAGGGGCGGGGGTACTAAGAGTTTAGACAATATAGCTCATTTGGTGGAGTGGGTTCTAGAAGCTAGGGGCCTCCTTCTGGAAGCCTCCGTAATAAGGATGAGACTATGTTGGGGTCTCTACTAGGGGCCCTCTGTTTATGGACAACGCAACATAGCCCCTCTGTGGGTAATCCACAAGCAACCACTTTTCAGGTTCCACATGAGTTTGGTCTGTAAAGTTTTGAGTTTCTGCCCAATTCAGGTCACCAAATGAATCAGATTGATTTTGCCTCGGTATGAGCCTCATCATAAAGACCACATCCCAACATGTGGGGTCCTTCTCCCAAACTACGTACACTCCCCAGAACGACCCTTCCTTCAACGCTCTGCCAGAAGCCACAGATTCAAGCTTGAAAAGTCCTACTATTCTCGTGTCCTTGAAGGGGCCCCCTCAACCCTAAAACCTAAATCAA